CATGATAACAGCCATTCTGTTCATGTGATGTGCCCAGCCACCACAGTGGGTGTTTCGCTTTGTCCTTCCCTCTGTCTGCCTATTACATCAGGAATGAATGCTGCCTCTGGCGGGGCATTTTCTCTTCTCGAGCTGTGCAGCCTCCAGCCTATTTGGAAACAAGCAGTTGCAAATAATGACTCGTATCCTCTGTGTGCCTGTGTAGGCTGAATAATAATGTCATGGCCATGCTACAGACTTGTATCTGAAAGAGGAGAGGGTGGCACAGCCCTGAGGAACTTCAGAGACACAGCCAGGGACGTATTTATGTAGGGGTTGTGGCTCCAGGAAGGCTACTGGAGGACTGCATCAACACCCTTCATTGGTGGCCTGTTGACATAGACTCCAGCCTCCAACAACCTTTGGTTCACTCACAATAGGCAGATGAGGGGAATAAATGGCAGAGGGTGGGGGAGAGCCAATGTTTTATTTTCTTATGGTCTGCATCCCCATGGACTCTCCATACAGCTACTGTTGTAGCTCCAAGGCTCATTGCTGATTACCTTGAACCAGTCTGCCCCAGTGTCTGCATGGGAAAGCAAAAGTCCTTTTGTTTCCCAGACAAGCTTTTCACACAGCTTCCTATCATACCTTTTGGGGATACAGTGGGAGGCCCATTCATATTAGAATTTCATATTACTCCCCATCCTTCCAGGCATAAAGCAGTGCAGGCAGATGGCATTTTTATTCTAACTGCATATATGCAGATAACTGCATCTGCACTGCAGGTGTTGCGCTGCCTTAGCAGCATTGGTATACCTGAAACGGCACAACTTCTGTACGCCCCACAGAATCACAGATCAAGCAGCATTTAGCAACGATAAATGTGCTGCGGTGATATTTGAAGGCAGCAGGAAAATGAATGAGGAAAGTTCTGCTCTGGGCTCCCTGGTTGATTCCCGGCTGTTGACATTGCTGCTTTGATGGAGCGCTGAGGTGCTTGGTGGTGTTTGCTGAAGCCAAGTGTCCTCATTGGAAGAGGTGGCACGGGGAAAAGACCGGGTGCACTGTGGGTATTGACCCACTGACTGGCAGACAGCTGCCAGCACTCCTGCGTCAGAGTGACAGGTCAATACTGGCCTCCTGCTGCTGCCTGGGGGACTGGCATCCTTCCTGCTGTCTGTGTAAGTCAGGTGACAAGGTCTTTGGATGTTGTTGACATAGGTTATGTATTTCTGGCTGTGTGCTAATTGGTGACAAGGAAAGGCAGCTCCTGTTCATAGAATTTTGTAGCAAAGAGCTGGCCTGAGATAAGCAAAGAGAAACATTTACTCATGCTCATTGCTACGGAAAGCTCCATCGCCACTTCCTGCGAAACCAGGACCAAAGTACAGGCTGAAACTTTACCTTGGCGGCACTTCATTACCTGTGGGAGTACTGCTGTTGGGAGGAAGAGCATTTGGCTCCACGATCTTGGCTGGCAGGGTAAAAACAGCAGGAATGAGCAGGGTTGGGCAAGGCACTAAGCCTCCGCTGACCTGCTTAGCAGAGACCAAATCCACTGGGAAGGAGAGGGGAAAAGCTGCAGGAGTCTGTGAGGACAAGAGGGAGCTGATCAGCAGGATGAGACATTGTGTGCAGATGATGGCAGCAGCAAGAAACCATTCTCAGTTGTGGTGGTGGAAAGGAGGGATTTGCTCTGAACTGCCTTCTAATGATTTCTATGCCTTCAGGTCAAAGACTAATAGCTGAGGTTGTGCCTCATATTCATGCCTGTGCCTTAGAACCTGCATGAGTCATTGCCTCTGCTCCATCCGAGCATGTTGTGGGACGCAGCTCTTTGCACTTCTATAGACATTTCATGGCTGGTGCTCTGATACCACCTGATCTTCAGCCCGGCGGGATCACCAGCACATGTTCCTTCAAGGAATCCCTTCAGAGGGTGTGGTGTCTTTCAGGAAGGGGGAACCCCCACAGTTTTACTCAGAAATTATATGAGTCTGTACAGAAAGACATATTCTTCATACCAGCTTCTGAGAACTCTCTGGAAGGATAACGTTTCTTACAGTTGCCTCTCACTGAGCCGTCAAAGACAAAACACTGGTGAGTGCTCTGCAAACTTGCCCATAAAATCACGGCACATAGGAGCTTTTGGCAAAGGCGCTGTGCAGCAATGGTAGGGTTAACAGAGGAGTCAGATGTCTGTTCAGTATGTCTCAGATGTCACATCCAAATACCTAGAAGGCAGCTGGGTTGTGTGAAAGGAAATCAACGGATTAAGATTTTAGTCCCAGCTCAAAAGCTTTTTTGTGACTTCAGGAATGCTTCATATCGCAGCTGTTAAATGAGATATAGGTAATACCTGTCCCACAAGCATACTGTGAAAATTAATTCATTAATCCTTTTTTTTTTTTTAAGGGGAAATGGAAAAAGCTAGAGAAATAATCATATGAAACATCACAGCAGTAACAACAGAAAGCAAACAACAGCCTAGAACATGGCAGCGGCACCCATAGGTCAGTTTGGTAGGGAGGCCACAGTGCTCTGCCTCAGCTCTTTTCACCTGCACCATTACAGAGGGTGCTCCGTGGTGCTCCACTGGCAGCCTGCAGACCACAGCCAGTGAAAATGCCTCGCTGAGGGACCTGCCCACAGCACTGCCAGCTCTCCCAGGCACCGCTGTGGGTATAGGATGCAAGGGGAAGTGGCAGCAGCTTTGCACCTACAAGGCAGGAGATGATGGAAATGAGGTGAGGGGAAAAAAATAGACTGGGCACTGTAGAGCAGCTCCTTTTTCTGATATTCCTCAAGGGCAGTATCAGACGGATGTCTAAGTCACAGGGAGAGGAGCGCTTCCAAGTGCACGCAGAGACTAGTCTCTAAAGTGTTTACTCCTAACTTGTCTTCAGGTTGAAGCCTTCTGCAACACCTCATGGGCAACATCTTCACCTGCATCCTTCATCTAGAACCCCCTCATTAAAATTAGAAGGAAGACAAATACAGAAATGCTCCTTTCCTCTGAATGAGTAGCATCCCAGTCATGAGAATCTCAGCTTCTTTTCAAGCTAAGAGTGAGTGGACTGGACATGTTCCTTCAATGTTGTTTGACAGTCTGGCTCATTTTATCAAACCCAGTCAAGATGAATGAGACATGTGTTTACTCTTGGTGGGTGAGCAGACAAAAGCTGCATGTAATTGTCCTTTGGGTGCCTGCCACTCCATGGGGATTTGCAATCATTTTGAGAAAACAGATTTTCCCTGTCACTGGAGGAGACAAACTGGCACCTCAGCACAAAACATACCACTTAAAATAGCTTCTAACGTGGCCTTGAAAACTATTTTTGGATCAGGAAAAATGTGGTGTAAAGGAAGACTGGAGCAGTGTATTGTAACTGTCACTCAAAAGCAAAGGCTCTATCATCTCATGAAGATCAGCAGATGTGTAAAGACTCACCAAGATAACCAAACTGGTCCACAGGCTTCATTACACATGGTGACAGTGGTCAAGGTCTTCCTCCTATGTGCACTGACTCACAATAATCACCTCTGTTCCTGGTTTTCTCCTTTCTCTCCAAAGGATTTGCAGGAGAAGGAGTGCGATTCCCATTCCACAATAAAGCCAATTGCAGATTTGTATTATGATCTGCTGATTACTTTTCCACCAAGCTGTGATGGCTTCCAGACTGCCCTCAGGAAGGTGCAGTCTGCCTCTGCGTTCCTCATTCTAGAGCAGAAATCAGCCCTGGTGCCACCAGACAGCAGCTGTGTAATAAAATCAACTCCACGTTTCTGTTGAGGATCCCAGATTTGTTTCTCAATATCAAAAATGTAAAGTCATACAAAAGGGCTAATGAACAGGCTTCAGGCTTTTGAAGAAGGCTGGAGTCTCCATCTGATTGAAACTCACCTGTAGAACAAACGACAAGTTAATGCACAAAAAGGCAGGAGAAACCCATGGAGGCTGTCAGGAATGGGAAAGCAGATCAGCTCCTTTCTCGGGAAATCAGATGCAGACGGGCTGCGAGATGAGCCCTGGGGAGGGACATGCAGAACAGCCAAGAACAAGCTTGAAAAGGGCCAGGAACAACATGCACCATGAGTGATGTGAGGCTGTGCTGAGTGGGGACAGCACCAGGTACTGAGTTGGGCAGCACATCCCTGGAAGTCATCCCCATCTGGTCTCTTTTCCTAGGTAACAAGAGATAGGACAAGAGTAAACAGTCTCAAGCTGAGCCAGGGAAGGTTTAGACTGGAAATTAGGAACAATTTCTTCAACAGAAAGGGTAGTCAAGCATTGCAACAGGCTGTGCAGGGAAGTGGTTAAATCACCGTCCCTGGAAGCATTCACAAACTGTGTCGGCAAGGCCCTCGGTGACATGGTTTACTGGTGGCCTTGGCAGTGCTGGGGAACGGTTGGACTTGATGATATTAAAGGTCTTTTCCAACCTGGTTGATTCTGTAACTCTCTGATTCAAAGCTGGATGCTGCTGAAGAGGTGGATCAAGCTGACGCCTCACTCTGCGTCTCCTTCAGCTGAGTACCACTCCTCACAGGCAGCCCCTGCCAGGCAGTCCTGCTCTAGCAAGCGGGCACAGGCTGCGCCTGAGGTGGGGGCTCGGAGACAAGGGGGGGATGCCTGTGCCTGAGGGATGCGTACCCTGCACCCCTGTGGCTGCCCAGCCGGGTGGAAGACTCCTGCCCCCAGAGCCTAAGGTCCAGCCCCACTGCCGCAAGACGCCGTCGGGGGCAATCAGTGACTAGGCCGCCTTCGCCCGTCTCCCCCCACAGCCGCTCCCAGAGCTGCGCTCCCGGCCCAGCGCGGGCCGCGGGGAACGAAGCAGCTCTGGCGCGGGGCTGGGCAGACGCGGCCTGAGGCGGGGTCCGGGTGCAGCGGGAAGGCCGGGCAAGCGGCCATTTCCCGCCGCCCCGTGCTGCTCTCGGCGGCAACCGCGGCGGCGGTGACGGGCGGCCTGTGCCCCGCGGTGGCCCCGCCTCCCGCCGAGCCCCGCCTCCCGCCCCGCCCGCCGAAGGCTGCCGAGCGGGGGTCGTGCTGCTCCGGCGGCCCGGCCGGCGTTTCCGGAGATTGCCGAGGGGCTTCGGCCCTTCCCCAGCCGCCGCTAAGCCCGTGACCGAGGCGCGCCGGTGGGGTCGGAGCTCGTCGCGCCCCTTGCTCTGCTCGCGGCGTGGGGCTCGACCTCCTCCTCTCCTCCCGTCTTCGTCTCCGGCAGCGCCGGGCGTCGCGGTGACAGAGCGGGGCGATCGCGGCGGGGGGCGGCCGGGGCTCCGGCGGCGCGGATGGCGGAGGGCGGCCAGCCCCCGCAGCAGCAGCAGCCACAGCCGCAGCTCCTGGCCGGCGGCGGCGCGGGGGCCGCCCGCGGCGTGAAGCGGGAGCCGGAGCTGGAGCAGCCCATGCCCGGTGGGGACGGCGCCGAGGGCGGCCACAGCAAGCGGCTGCGGACGGAGGCGGAGGCCGACGGCGGCGGCATGCAGGTAGCGGGCAGGGCCGGGCCGGGCGGGCCCTCTCCGGATCACCCGCACCGGGGCTCGGCGGGAGCGGGGAGGCTGGGTCGCGTTTAATTGCTCTTTGCGGGATCCAGCACGTTTCTTACGGGCTTGCGGCCCTTTCCGCAGCCGCTGGCGCTGGGTCTGTTGCCCGCGGGTCCCTGGCTCCCGGGGCGCAGCCTAACACGTGGGGTGGCCCGCGGGAAGCCGCCGCTGAGTCCGGTGCTCCAGGCATCGCTTCCCCGCCGAGGACCCTTGGGAGGCCAAGGTAGTGCGGCTGGGCACGGGCACCGTCAGGGCTGGGGGCCCGGGGGAGGGTGACCCTCCCCGCCTCGGGTCTTGTAAGCCGTGGGGAGCAATCCCAGGTGCTGCCTGGGAAGGGGGCCGCGGGGCGTCGGGCCGGCGCCTTTCCGCTCGGCGCAGGGCTGCCAGCAGGATCTTGCGTTCCCGCCGTCTACTGCCTGCACGTCTCGATCGTCCCCAAAACATTGCTCTTCCCAGGTGCGTTCGCTTTTGTGTTTGTGGGGTGATGCTGCTGAGGGATTTCTGCTTTCCTTTGTCTGGGTGTTGTGAAGGGTCGTTTTGTTGTGGCCATTGTGCTGGCCTTTTTTTGCTTCTGTGTTTCTTGTGAGGAGTATGTCGGAGCTCTTTGGAAAGAGCATGGTTTGTTCACCTGGGCTTGTTCTCTTTCACCTTCTCTTGGGTTGGTCAGTGTTACTGATAGTTTCCGAGGGGGAGCATCCTGTCCTCTCCAGCATGCTTTTCATCTAGACACCAAATGCTGACCAACAATCTTCTCTTATTTCCCAGGCTGTCCTCAGTTTGCATGCTCGAGGTTTTCGTTGATTATTACTATTTTTTACGTAGCTTGCAGCAGGAGGGGTTTGTTTGTGGTTCTGCTCGATATTCAGCCTTTCGTGGTGGTCCCTCCACCTCACATCATCACTTTTTTCCCTGGTGTGATGGTGTGGGCTGAATGTATTCTGGAGCTTCACATCCGAGTGTTGCTGGTCGTGCTCCCGCAGGGGCCAGAGAAAACTGCACCGTGCTCTTTTATTCCTTGAAGTAGTATCTTCTCCTACACGTAGGTGTTAAGTATGACTCAGACAACGTATATAATTGCAAGGAGAAAGATGCTCAGTGTTGAAGGAGTAGTGCTTGCACGTTGTGTCTTGCTAGGAATTGTGAATGAGTGCATGTACGTGGTGACATGAAATTTCTTCCAGGTCTTTGGAGTTGAGCTGAGGCACAGGTCCTGCGTAGCTACAGATGTGCCAGCTGATCTGCAGTTAGTGGTTAAACTGGTTGGTGTTGATGGAAACCAGTGGTAAATCAACTGAAAATTGCCCGGGAAGGGGTTTGAACTGTTTTAACAAAGTAGTGTCGTAATTAAAATGTAATTTTGAGTGTAATTTCTGCATATATATAAAAGACTCCCCTCTATATTTGCATCGAGGAAAGCTTGTGTTATCTGTTCAATGAATAGTACAAGATACTAAAATTGCACTGCAACAGTGTCTGTGCACAGCAGCGTGTAATACTGGTGGTAATGGTAGCAGGGATTGATTGTGGATCTTAGTGGAAAGCTGGGTTTTGTTTCTGTATCAAACACTGGCAGACAGTGGAGGAGTGAAACTAGTAGAGCCTACTTTTAAGGCTCTGCTTATAGCCATTGTATCTGTTCTTCAGATGAGGACCCTCATATTGTAGTTACTGGGTATCCTTGGCGTCATTTTAACCTTTACGTGTGTATCTATATAGAAAAGATTTTTCAATCATTTCAATATAAAACATGAAAATAAACATATATATGTATATATGCGTGCACACACATACTGTTATGGCCAGAAGTTTCCCTTGACTTTTTTTTTCCTGTTAAAGAGTGTGGTTTATTTATGTGGAGAATCTTGTTATGGTTGTAAGGAAGAAATGCTTAATTTGAAGCTGAGCTAACAAATCATATCAGACCTAGGAAAAATGTTCTTTAATGTTTGGGGAAGTTGATAATCTTTATCTAAACATCAAAACATAAGACTGCCTTTCAGAAAGATTTCTGTTCAAATAGTGTATTCTTTTGAAGTACTTTATTGTAGACTCAACGGGTTCTTTTAGTAAATTCTCTGTATTTAACTGTACATAATACTTAGAAGAGTAATAAAGAACCTATTACTTGATATTTTTTTTTTCTTCCCTAGAAAAAACAGAGTCTTTCTGGAAGCTGGAAATAACACCAGGAACTCTTGTACCTTGTTTTTCCTGCAGATCCTGTCAATTTTCTACTTCCTGTTCCAGAGCCACAGGCTGTTGCTGTGTAAACTTGGTGACCTCGTGTCTCTGGCCTGATAATGAGAAATCCCGGGTGCCACACTTGCTGCCACGGTTTCTTCCTTGCATAACCCCTACCTACCAATGTTTCGTTATATTAATATGGCTTGTAATGCTGAAATAAATCATTTAGCTATAGAAATTACTATTTCAGTGTTAAAACTAATAGCTTTTTTTATTGTCTGTTAATATGAAATATAAAAACTAGCGTACAGGAAGACAAGATAGTAACTAGTTAATAAGAACTGGGGGCAAAGTGTGCCTTAAAGCTTAGAGTAACCCTTAAATTTACTGCGTTTCTTGTTTTCTGCTGTCTCAAGCTAGCATGCTCAGACAGCTTATGCAGTTAGGGTTTCATTATCTAATCCATCTTTGATCAGGCCGGATAAACGGTGTTTGGCCAGTGCTGATCTTGTTAGGAGGGTGGTGTAAAGCTGCTTGAGATGGGATTGGGACAAATCGGATCATGGCTGCTATCTGCTTCTGGGCCATATTTCAGTTAATCATGGTGTGGGACGAAAAGGTCCAGCATGAACTGCTGCTTTTTAGTTCCTTTTGGTCCATAAGTGGCAAAAATAAAACGCTACTGGCCAAGAATGTCTCCTGGAAGTATTTGGATGTTTGTAAGCTTTGGAAGTGAAGGGCCCCAAAGGTACTGCTGCTTTTTAACTGTATAAATACTAGCTTGGTTTCTGTTTGCTGGCTTGGATGAGTTGAATCTTTGGATCAGTTTGCTGATCTGGATAAAAATAGAACCTAACAGAGGGGAGAGGAAAAAGTTATATTGGATTAAGTCACATGTGAAACTGCACTGAAATGCAGTTGTTGATGCAGCTGTATTTGCTGCTTGTCAGAAGAGGTTGACTGCTTCGCAGATGGAAGAGAAAGTACCCTTGCAATAATCTTTATCCTCCTCCGTTCCCTGCAGGATGAAAGACGAGAAATGTTATGTCTAGGTGGGAAGTATCCCTTCTTTCCCTTTGGATCTGCAGACAAGGGTATAATTCCAGGGTGCTGTCCTGTCTTCTCCATCAAGGTGCTAGAGGTATATCAGCCGTATATCTGTTGAAGAAAGTTATTAAAATACCTTCCAGTTCCTTTGCATGAGGTTGAATGATTTAATCAACTCCTCATTTGGTTCCCAAGCTGAATGTTGATTTAACTTTTTAATGGGGCTCTAGGCTGGTTAGTGAATTAAAGTTATACCTAGGGGTAATATGTGGTTGGAATTGGATGTGAGGTGTGAACAGAGCTGATCCTTGTTCCTCCTTCGGGAATGCCTTATGTGCATGAATGACTCGTGACCTATGCCTTACCCAGCCTACCTAAACTTTTACGGGCAGCAAGGGGTGGTGACTTGGTGTGTCATTCAGGGGTGTCTGCATAGGGTTAGTAAAGATGACTAGTGGTGTTGAGATCAGTCCCCTGTGACTGAATAATGACATAATAGACAATAAATCTTTGCTCCGTGAGAAATCTGTGATTTCTCTTCCTACCACAAACCAGAAGATGTCCTGTAATACCTTCTACCAGCTTAATTCCTTCCAGAATGGACACCAGAAACCTTGAACAGTAACATGCCACAGAAGGGGGAGAGCGGGGATGTTGCTGGTGCTTCGTGACAACCAGTGTCCTCATTCAAACTATGGCCCTTTTGTGGAGGGCAAGAAATCAATCTGCTGATAATTTCCAAAGACAGGTTTGGGTTTTAAAAGTACGAGGCTGACTGGAACTGTAATTTAGAGGGGGACAGTGAATAACAGCTTTTGTGCTGTAGTGGACCCAGTGGAAGTCTGTATTTTTAAATCTTACAGAAGAAAACATTTACTTCCAGTAAATTGCAGGAAAGCAGTATAATCAGGTTAGCTTTTTCATCCCTCTTATTATTTATGGCATGGCCATCTCGTAAAGAGATGCAGAGCAATACAGGTGATACAGTATATTCTAGAAAAGAAATGGTGTTCTAGTTTTTAGAATCTGACCCCTGCCTTGGATCCAGGATGGGTTTCCTGGGATGCTGTTTGGACAAACTGTTGCTGATGTGATGAGACATAATGAATCACCTTTAAGTTTGTTGTTATTTCTGTGTTTGCTTTTGTCCTTTGTGGGTTCTTTTTGAAGTATTTTAGTGTCATGAGTTGGCCCTGACACAGTCTGGGAAGACTTAGAAAATTGCCAGTTCAAAGAAAGCATTGGCAAACAGACTGAAAGTTGGGATTTTAGAGGTGTTGAGAGCACTTTAATGTTGCCTCTTTTCTTCCCATGTTCAGGGGAATGGAAAGCCCAAGTAAAGTATTCTGGATGCTTTTGTACCCCTCCAGGCTCTGTTGGTATTTCTCTTTGGATTTCAGAGGTTTGTGTTTGAAGGTGATGGCCGTGGTTGTGAGGCTGGAAGCTGAACAGAGGTCTGGCTCTGCTGGAGATGGTTTCCTTCTGCTTGTGTGTAGACATATGCTTTTTATTTTTCCTTTTCAGAATTCCCATTTAGAAACATGAGCCCGCTGGCATTTTGCAGAAAGCCTGGGCTCTGCCTTGCACTTTGAAAAGGTTGCCCACCTAGGTGAGTTCAGAGCAGCGTACCTCCCTTCCAGGCACGTCCTGTGAAACACCCTTTTTGTCCTACTGACCTTGTGAGCATGGCTCCCACTTGCCCTTTTGCATTA